GTGATTGTCTTTTGACGTCCCCGGGGCCTGGCGAGGGCCCCCAGGGGCCGAAAACAGTGAACAACTTCCCGTCCTGATTTTTTTTTACGACGCGATTCTGGGTTTTTTTCACCCCTGCCTGGGTTTTTTTCACCCCCGCACTCTTGACCTCATGCTGCCTTGCTCGCGCGCTGCACGGCACGCGCGTGGGACACCGCAGCCTCTTGGCCCAGAAAGAGGACCTATAGAGGCCGAAACGCGTCGCCAGCTAAAAGTGGCCGAGATCGGTCATGCACCAAAGTCTGGGCACACATTGGGCTCACACGCGTCCCGGGGAGCCATCGGCCAAGCCCCACATATTCAATGACCTTTCATTTGTTTCGTTCGGTTTTGGCATGCTACACACAGAAAACTTGAAAGAGAAATGAATCAAGAATGCACAGTTCGGTGAATATATTTACATTTTGGTAAAGTACTTCCTTATGATTTAAAAGTTTGGAGGCGCAGGAGGCGGCGCAATGTTTGAGTAGGTTTACATTTTGGCAACGTACGCTTTGGAGGATTTTTTTTTTACCGCTGCGCCCCTCTGGCGGATACCCTCCCTGCTCTCCGCTCCTCCTGGGCGCAGGCGTGCGGCAAGCCACGAGGTTGATCACGAGGTTGATCACGCACAAGGACTCGCAATCTCGTGGACACGCTTCTCGAGCCAGGGCGGCCAGCACCACGGGCAGATGAGCATGCCGCACCCTCTGCACCACAATGCCTCGGAGTCGGGCCCGTCGGCTTCAGCGATTACAACCGAGCAGCCGTCGCAAGTGCGATTCTTCAGCTCGGTGACCAAGAACGCGTCGACGTGTTGGACAACGTGTATCGAAGTGCACGGGCCCCTCCCACCAGCCACAGTGGATACGCCAAGCGACGAGTCAACGGGGAAGCGCACGTTGCTGTAGCCCAGGTCGTCGCTGAAGGTGTCCGACCCAATGTCCTCTCCAGAGCGGTCCGACATGAAATTGCGATTTGAATATGCGTCACCAGCACTTGGCCACTCAGCTGCCTCCTCCGCGCGGTGCCCCGCCTCCTCCACGACAGGGAACGCGGGCGGCTCGGGAGGTCTAGGGTCCCAGAGTGGCTCCCAGAGGCCCTGCAGCAGATTGGAGGGGGCCAAACCAGCAGGGCGATCGGGCGGGATATGGCCACTGGGCGCGTCGGAGTCGTACGACGCCGTGTCGGCGGCATCACATCCACAAGGAGCGCCTTCATCGGCAGGTGGCAGCAGCTGCGGCACCTCAATGACGTGCTTGGGGACGGGCGGGACCTTCGCCGCCAGCATTGCCTCCAGGTGGGCGGCGTGCCACGCCCCGACACCCGTAGGGATCGGGGGCAGAGCCTGCGCTGGCCCGCCAGGATTGTTCAGCCAAGAGAAGGCACCGTGTGCCGCTGCATCCCGTTCTTTCTTCACGTGCACCGCGTCGATGTGGGCTTGTCTCGATAACCAAGGCTTGGCCAGCGCGAGAGCAGTCCCGAGACAGTGGCTGTGAGTACCCAGGAGCGCGTCGAGCGAGGCGTGAAGCTCCAAGCCGCGGTGGAAGGCCTGGAGCCGCCGATGGAGATCGGCACGGGGGGAAAGGCAGGCCGCCGCACGCCGCCTCCGCAGCCGCCGCTGGAAGGCGCGAGCAGAAGCGCCTGCCCACGCACGCGGGGCCTCACGCGCCACCGGCGGTGGCGAGGGCCCTCCCGTAGCCATGTGGTCAAGCTTCAGCTCCAGCAGCCGCCAGGCCATCGCGCCGGGCGAGCCGGGGCTTGCAAACTGGCCTTGACCGCTTTGATGGCTAGGATGAGGAGGGAAGGAGGAGGAGGGAGAGGAGGAGGAGGAGGAGCAGGAGGAGACGGAGGAGGAGGAGGAGGAATGCGGGGAGGGATGGAGGAGGAGGAGGAGGAGGGGGCGGCGGGGACGGAGGCCGGGCCCCGGGGAGCCATTCGGCCACAAAGCCCCGCCCCCCGCCCCCCAGGGGGCGCGGAGCGGCGCCGCTGAGAGACCGCCCGGGGCCCGGGGCGCGAGGGGGAGGGGCGGGCGCGGAGAGAGACCGCCCGCGGGCGTGCGTGCGGCGTGTGCTTTCCCTGCAGGGCAGCTTTTACTGCATGGGATTCTTCTTAAGAATATCGGACTCGAGTGCATGATTTTTTTTACGAAGGAATCTAGGCAGGAGCTCCTCGTTGCGAAAGGGGGGGATATAGCGGAGGGGGGGGGGAAGAGAATATCAGCTCACATATAGCTGACTCTCCCGGCGCCTCCCGGCGCCGGAGGCGGCCGGGCCTCGAGGAAAAGGGGCCCCGCGCTGGGGCCGCAGCCAGCTGCCTGCGGCAGATTTCGTGACCCCCCCCTTCCCCAATCCCCCCCTTTCGTCCGGCCCGATCCCTAGGCAGGCGCGCTCCGCCACTCGCAGAGCCACTGCTCGCAGCTGGCCTGGATCCGCCGCAAGGGGCTCTACGATATAGACTACGTCAGAGCAGCCATGTGTTTTTCGGACGTTTGCGAGTGGGCACTCTGCGAGTCGCGGAACGCGCTCAGTGACCACTGCACGGGATCCGCCGCGGGGGATCTACGATGTATGACCTCGAGGCGAACGTGGGCTTTTCGGACGTTTGCGAGTAGGGGCTTTGCGGGTAGTTGGAGGCGCTCGGCGACTCACGCCGCCCTGTGGTTCCCCGCTGCACGGGACGCGCAAGGGCGTACCAGTATCAAGTCGGGCGTGTCCCCCTACAGGGGGATTCCCGACGAAAAATTAAAACATACCCCAACAACACTCCAAAATGGTAAACAGAGACTCGAAAAATAGCCCCCAAGGCTATTTTGTTTGACTATTCTTGCATCGTCCCCCTGTAGCGGGACAGTCTTTGATTCGCGGGTCGAGAGCGCACCTCTTCCGGTCGAAGCGAAGCGGGCCAAAGAGGGGGGGCAGCAGGAGACCCTGTATGAAGGGGCCCAAGGACACACAAATAAATACACACAAATAAAAATACGTCCCATGTTGTCCCTATTTCTGGGAATCGAAGATTAATTGTGTCTGTGTGTTTTTTCCCCTCCTGACTGTAGCGGGACAGGCCCCGGCTTAACTACCAGCACTGCACGCTCTCCTCGGAGGCCCGCGCCGGGCCCGCACCCGTGGCGCACCCCTCCCGTAGAGGCACGTCGCTGCCCGAGCGGCGTGGCCGACGAGAGCGCCCGCCACGACGCACGTAATGCGGGATGACGATTAATAAAAAAATGTGAGAGAACGATTAAAAAAAAGTGTTATGCTATTTCTGCATAAATTTCTGACTGGAGGAGAACGATAAAAAAAAATCCAGCCCGCGGCCGGTATTTTCTAATCGTCACCCCGGGCGGCGCCGCGTGAACACGACCCCCGGTCATTTATTAATCGTCATCCTCCATTACTAGAAGACTTCTCGGCGCGCGCGTCGCCCCTGTGGGGGCGACGCGCATATAGGAAGGGGCCCCAGGGCACACAAGTAAATTCACACGAACAAAAGAATTCCCCTAAAATTTCCAATATCTTCTGTGTTCTTGTCATCCCCCCCATTTCCCATATATGTTCCCATATTTTCTGGGGGATCGACGATCAATTGTGTCTGTGTGTTTTGTCCCTCCTGAATATAACATCAGTATGCTGGAGTGACGCCGACTGCGGTCGGCCCGTATCATGAGGACGCGCGACAAGGATGCAGGGGCCTTGGACGACCATGTCGGAGCTCCTCGAGCGGGGCGCGGCCGACGAAAGTGGCTAGGGATGGACCGAGGAGGCAAGGAAGGTTGCCCATCCTTACCATGCGGGTTTACTGTAGCCGTGTGAAGGGGTGGATCGGGTCGGGCCAAAGGGGGGGATAGCAAAGGGGGGGTTTGAGAATCAGCTCACGTAGCTGATTTTCCCGGCGCCTCCCGGCGCCGGAGGCGACTATGTATCGAGGAATGGGCCCCTCGGTGGGGCCGAAACCAGCCGCGCATGCAGCAAATTTCGTACCCCCCCCTTTCCCAATGCCCGGCCCGAGTGGATCCGTTCGGTTTTCCCCTCGACGGTCTGGCCGAAGTACGGGAAGTATGTCACCTCCGCGCTGCCGGCCGCGACTTCGAAGCTGCTCAGATCGGCCTGTGGGAAGAAGGTCGCGGTGAGGACGGTGCAGCCTCCGCTGGCGAACCCGCCGGGCCCCAGCTTCCCGGAGCGGCAGTGCGTGCGAGATGCTCGATCGTCCCTCGCCCGCCAAGTGGAACGATGCGGCAGATCGTCCCTCGATCGTCCCTCGTCCGATGCTCGATCGTCCCTCGCTCGATGCTCGATCGTCCCTCGCGGCAGTGCGTGCGAGATGCTCGATCGGAGGAAGGCGGGACTGGAAGTGGAAGCGGGGATCACAGGTCGAGCGGGTCAGAGGGCCCCGCCTCCCGCCACCCTCCCTCCCACAATATGGGAATCAATTGGGCCACAACTTGGTATTGGGGTCGGATCGCAATCCCACCTCGCGAGCGGAAGAAACTCGCGAGCGGTCCCGCTTCCAACGACTTGGCGAAGAGAACTTCACGCGGCCGCGCAAGGGAGGGAGCGGAAAAACCTCCGATGTAGGAGGAAAAAATCCATTCACCGATATGGTCGTAAGGACTTCCACCGCGTCAGGCGGTTCCGTCAAAACCGGAAGCAATATATGTAGGGAGGCCAGGAAAGCTAGAATCAACGGTTCCCAAGAACCCTGGCGCCCTGCGACCGCGATTAGGGCACGCCCACGTAACCACGCGGCGGCAGGGGGCCACGCAGCGCTGTGAGACCCGCATAGGCCCATCGCCCTGTCCACGGAACGATCCAAAACCACATCGGTGCATGGATTCTTCCTGTCTGGGGGGACGGGAATCCATGCACCGGTGTGGAAGGCCAATCGGAAGAAACCGTGCAGGACATCCGATGCAGATGGCACAGATTTGTGCGTGGGGGGCGCTGGGTCGGCCCCTGGAACTGGTGCGTGGCATGTGGTCTAGGGAAGGCGAAAGCGGCGCCCACGTCGTCGTCGTCGTCGTCGTCGCGTCGTCGCCGTCGCCGTCGCCGTCGCCGCCGTCGTCGTTGTAAGCGTCGTCGCCGTAGGCGTCGTCGTCGTCGTCGCCGTCGCCGTCGCCGTCGTCGTGAGCGTCGTCGCCGTAGGCGTCGTCGCCGTAGGCATCGTCGTCGTAAGCGTCGTCCTCGTCGTCGTCCTCGTCGTCGTCGTCGTCGTCGTCGTCGTCGTCGGGCGGCAGAGGCCCAGAGCGGTAGTACAAAGTGAAGAGGAACGTAGGGATGCGAGGCCAAGGTGCCTCGACCCATCTGGATGAGGAGGAGGAGCGGGAGGAGGAGGAGGAGGAGGAGGAGGAGGAGGAGGAGGAGGAGGAGGAGGAGGAGCGAACGTAACCTTGAAGGAAGGTTCGTCCGCGCTTAGCCGAGCCGCGGCCGCGGCGCGCCCGCACCTCCGCTCAGGTCAGACGGGAGCTGGAGGGCGCGGCGAGCGGCGGCGAAGGCCGTGTACTGGTTGTGGTAGGAGATCGGGAGGGGGAGGTCCTTGGTGAGGTGGTACGCCCGCGTCGCGACGGCGAGGCGCGTGGCGGAGTTCGGGATGCCGTTCTCGCCGTCGAACGGGTGCGACAGCTCGGGGAGCGCCATGCGCGTGAGGAGGTCGGCGCTCAGCTGGCCGCGGGGCAGGCTCAGCTGGTGCCACATGCGTTCGCACGTCATGTAGTGCTGAATGTTGTCCTTGGCGAGCGGGTGATTGCACCCGAAGTGGCAAGGGCGCTTGTCCTGGATGACATGCATGCGGTAGCTGGTGGTCCATGCGCCCACGAGGGCCTTCACTGTGGCCCACATCCGTGCAGGCGGTTGCGTAGCCAGGTAGGTGCGCAGGCGTTTCCAACGAGCAGGAAGGTCGGCGGGTACCCGATGGAGACGAAGAAGATCAGGCGGCTCGCCTTCGTCATCTGGAGGATCTTCTCCGCCGTCGGGGAAGTCGGCGTCGCTGATGTCGGAATCGGGCAGCTGGTACGGGAGAAAGTTGGCGACCCAGCGGCGGCGGGCACGATGTTGGGCGGCTTCATGCTGGAGTAGCGGGGTCAGGCTGCTCGGTTCATCTGAGCGGGTCCGAGTTCTTGAGAGACGGTGTTCGAGGAGGATTCTGCCAGTGCCGCCGTTGTCCCATGCCTGCTGACACATGTCGGCTGCGATCTGTCGTCGGCGAGCGGAAGTGGCATAAAGCGGGCGAAAGGTCTCGGACCCGAGGAGCTCGTACAGGTACTCCGTGCACCACTGCATCCAGTCTGAGCGGTTGTCGATCGCGTGGTCATTGAGCAGGATGTCGGGAAGCCAATGGGCGGCCCATGCGCGAGCTCGGTCGGCCAGACGTTCTTGAACGATTTCGGCATTTCGGCGAGGCCCGCTGGGCGGCTCCCTGGTGAGCGACTTCGCAGGGTCGAGGGACGGGAACCAGGACAGGAGACGCCGCTTTATGGTGTCTGCCATCGTGTCGGTGTAGAGCTGCTCATTGAGGGACGTCATGTAGGCCTTCTGCGGCGTGATCTGTGTGGTTCGGCGGCGATGCAGTTCTTGTTGCTACTGTAGGAGGGCCTGCATTCCAGCACGAGCGGCTCGCTTGTGGATGCCAATCATAGCGGCACGGGCGCGAGGAAGGGGGCCAGCTGCGCGGGTCAGCCTCTTTAAGTGGGAGCCCTTGCAGTCGGGGAAGAAGGTAGAGTTGATGATGTGCTCGAACCGTTGGGCGATGGAAGACTTGATGGACCAGCGCTCGCTGCACCAGTGGCCGCGTTGCACTGTGGCGAGGGGGAGCTGCTCGTACGCGGTGTCGCGGAGCGCGTTGAATGCGCCGCGCCAGTCTGCCACCGTGGAGGTGGCTGTGCGCCGCATGGTGGCCGCCAGGTAGTTCTCGATGCCAATGGGGACCTCAGCCTTGGTCCAGAGAGACATCGCGAGGAAGTCGGACTTCGCGAAGCTAGACGGGGCAACGCGCAGCAACTTGTGGAACGCCTGCAGCTCCTTCTGGAGGATGCCCGCCGAGGGTTCGAATAGCTGACCTACGTATCCAAGGGCCGTGACGGCAGCGACGTTGTACAGCTTGATGCTCTGCTGGATAGGGGCGCGTGACGCGGCGAGCTTCTCGATGCGGCCCCACCACTTGACAGCAGGGCCTCGCCATTGGTCGTCAAGAGTGGCGCCAGGGCCGATGAAGAAGCCGAGGTATCTGGCGCTGGACTCAACCTTGAAGGCGGCCCAGGGAGCGTGGGCGGCAGCAAGTACTTGGCGTATTGCTGCAATGATGTCCTGAGTGGGCAACGTCCAGGTCGGGACCACGATGCAATTCTTGGCCTGGAGGCACAGGCCCGCGAGAGTCTCCACCGCGATGATGTGCGGCGCGAGCTTGCTGATGTCCGCTAGCCTCGCGAGGATGATGCCGAGGTCGTCAGCACATGCGCTAACCAGACCGCGCTCGATGGCTGAGAGCTCG